AATGCTGCAGGGACCTTTTCCCTGCATTTCAGGAGGTTCAGCAGCCCATTCACATGAATGGGCTACCGTGCCCACGCAAACCACAGCTCTCTCTCTCCCCCTCCCTCTCTCTCTCTCCCCCCCTCTCCCTCCCTCCCTCTCCACCCTCCCTCTCTCTCCCTCCACCCTCCCTCTCTCTCTCCCCTCCCCCCTCCTTCTCTCTCTCCCCCCCCTCCCTCCGTCCCTCTCTCTCCCCCCTCCCTCCTTCTCTTCTCCCCCCTCCCTCCTTCTCTCTCCCCCCTCCCCTCCCCCTCCCTCTCTCTCTCCCTCTCTCTCCTCCCTCCCTCCCTCCTCTCCCTCCCTCCCCCTCTCTCCCCTCCTCCCTCTCCTCTCCTCTCCTCCCTCCCTCTCTCTCCCTCCCTCTCTCCCTCTCTCCTCCCTCCCTCTCCCCTATCTCTCCCCTCTCCCTCCCTCCCCCTCTCCTCCCTCTCAGCCTTCTCTCGCTTCCCCCCCCCCCCCTCTCTCTTCTCTCGCTTCCCTCTCTCTCTTCCCCTCTCTTTCTCTCTCTCTGTTTCTCAGATTGTATGGGACCGCACAAAAAACACCTCCTCCAAGGGCTGCTGATCTCCAGGCAGCAGGAGGGGGGGGGGGGGGAGGAGGTGTGTGCAGTCCCATACGATTTGTCAGTGTATAATGTGCTGGATGGATGACAGGAGGGAGATCCCACAGAACACAACACAGCTCACACCTCCTCCTGGCCCTTTCATCTCCAACACTTCTCCTCTCCCTGCTCCAGGTGTTCCCCTGGTCCTGGCTTGTCTGCTGCTGGAGGGAGAGATACACGAGCATCGTTCTGCAACTGCCCTCCCCCACACCCCACCACATTGATCCTCCTGCTATACGGGCCACTGCAAGAGTACCGGTGGTACCCCTCTGATGACGGCCCTGCATGACTCTGTCCGCTGCTGCTCAAAAGGTCCCTTCTTCCAGGGGGGCGATGCCGCCCCCCTAAAAATTGCCGCTCCCCTAAAAATTGCCGCCCTAAGCAAACGCATTGTTTGCCTCATGGTAGATATACACCCCTGCTCAGGCTTCCAATCATTTCTGCAAAGATTCAGTTTCCAATCAGCAGATATGTGAGATAAGTGAATCAAATGGGCTGTCCCATATAATTCGATAACAAACTGTACACAGAAGCTAGATTTTTTTTATAAGATTGCTCACATTTTGTTGGTATTTTCACATGTACTGTATATCTAGTTATTCTATATAAGGTATCTATATTCTTCTTAGAAGGATGTACAGTCTCTGCAATGATTTACTGTGGCCGCGTTGTGGACACTCAAATATTTTCCATATTCTCTACCAAGCAGTAAATGATCTATGAAGCGACCCTGTCATCAATATAAAATCTTGATTTGGACTATTACCTGTAAAGATGAAACCAAATACTTAACCTCTCCTCCTGCCTGTGCTGATGATCTCCACTCCTTTTTTTTGGGAAATAATCCCACAAAGTCTGCTTGGAAGCCAACACTTCAGGAGTGTCAGTTTTCTGTTTCTCCTGCAGCACTGATTTGTTTCTCCCACTGGCCTGCATTTCTCTACAGAATACTGTAGTAACATGGAGGTCGGCAGGAGGAACCAGCGAGTGCTACAGGAGAAACAGGAGCTTGACACTCCAGGAAGTGTTAGTCTCCTAAAAATTTCAGCAGGCGATTCCTCCTCATCAAAGCTGTGTTCAGCACTGTAAGCAGTGGGAGAGTTAAGTATGTATTCTCTTCTTTACAAGTACATCTGTCAGATACAGTTTCATCTTTGTTACAGAATCACTTTAAACCGTTTGTCCGCCGCCCTATAGTAGAAGTACTGCTACAGGGTGGCAGGGCTGCGCAAAATCATATATATATATATATATGTGTGTGTGTGTGTATATGTATATGTGATTTGCATAGGGGGTGCGCACGCTGCCCTACACATGTCCCTATTGGCGGCTAAGGATGTCAATCACCGGGTCCCGACTAGCACTCCACAATCAGCATGTAAAACTGACAGGGGAGAGACCTGTGTGTAAACAACACAGGTCTCTCCCCCTGTCAGCATGGACATGCTGCATTATATCTATCTGCACATCAGAGAGATACAAAACAGCATACCTCCTTAGTAAGACACACACAGTTAACCCTTTGATCACCCAGAAATTAACCCATTCCTGCCCAGTGTCACTAGTACAGTGTCAGTGCTTTTTATTAGCACTGATCACTGTATTAGTGTCACTGGGGAAGCCAGTGTCAGTTAGTTCCCCCCAGTGTCAGGATGCCCGCCGCATTCCCGCTATAAGTCGCTGATTGCCGCCATTGCTAGTATAAAAAAAACAAAGATAAAAAATCCAGTATATATACCGCCATTTGTAGACGCTATAACTTTCACATAAAGCAATTAATTTACATGTATTGGGAATTTTTTTTTTTAGCAAAGACATGTAACAGAATACATTTTGACTTAAATGTGACCAAATTTTTTTTTTTTTTTTTTTTTTTTTTTTCTGGACATGTTTTATAGCAAAAAGTCAAAAATATTGTTTGGGTTTTTTTTTTGTTTAAAATTTGTTGGTCTTTTTTTGTTTATAGCACAAAAAGTAAAAACCGCAGAGGTGATCAAATACCACCAAAAGAAAGTTCTATTTGTGGTGAAAAAAGGAAATAAATTTATTTTATGTAAAGCGTTGTATGACTGCGCGATTGTCAGTTAAAATAATGCAGTGCTGTATTGCAAAAAATGGCCTGGTCAAGAAGGGGGTAAATCCTGTGGAGGGCAAGCTGAAGGTCATGAGACATAGCCTCTTTGGTCATCCTAGATGACTCCAATGGTTAATCTCATTCTAGATGGCATCCAAGTTTCTTAAGCATCTCAGTCCTTCCAGACTGAAAAATCAAAGGGGCCCTGGACCATCCGAGGAACTGCCAGAGACTGCAGAGTTGGTGGATGAACCAGACATGGCACTACAGTTTGGGACCCTTAGTCTGAGTGAAGAAAGCCTGGGATCTGAGGAGAGCGATGGAACAGGTACTGATTTATTGAAAATGTCATCTCAAATGTATTACTTTTCAATAAACATAGTTTCCCCACCTTTAGGAAAGATAAAGCAGATTGTAAACTCAGATTGTATGTCCACATGTATGTCCACCACCTTCAGTTTTAAAGCAGATTTTGCACATGAGGTTAAGAACACCTTATTCATTTACTGTATCTGAGCATTCTCTTTCTTGCAGAAGGATGATCGCTGGAGGAACCAATTGCCCTTCCTCTTCTGACACAACAGATGAGAGAGATGTGGGCAAATACTCGAGATCACAGAGTACCTGTCAGGTTGACTTTCGAGGTGACCGAGGCTAATATTATGCGTGGCATACATGGCAAATCTGTGGTGAGTACTGCAGAGTCCCTGTTCCCTAATGACATCTATCATATCAATGAATACCTATTGGTGATAGCGCTAGCCTGCTTTTCTATTCTAGTTAGTACTTCTTTGCCCCAATATCAGGTATACCTGAATCTGCAGAACTCTATTGTATAATGTCATAATCACTTTTAAATATACTGTACATTCATCATTAACGTGAGCCTGTCCACTATTTTACATGTTTAATGCTGCCCACAGTGGGGATTGTTTTTCTCTTGAAGGGCTATAGTGGTTGAAGAATCTTTTCATCTGTAGGAGTGTCTGATGCAGAGCCCCCTCTATGGTACCATCCGCTGGTCTCTACATCACTACAGGACACAACAGTGGCATACATGTTGACAGATGGAATCACAGGGGACCAGGCATCCGACTCACTAGGAAGTGTCAGATGGAGAAGATTCTTCAGCTGCCATAGCTCTTTAAGGTCTCACTTACATACGCAGTAAAGGGTTGGTAAAGGTAAAGGTTGATTTTCATTTTTGCTGCCCATCTTTAACCTATCTCTGCTGGGGGGATTCGTGCACATGCCATGAACATTTCGTTCAATTTCCATCGTGGTGATGGGAGCTTGGCTTGTGGTTGCTGTGTAGTATTTACATGAAAAGAACCCACGTAAGGCTGAAAAACAACAGGCATTCAGGAGGTGACAGTGTTTCCTAGAAATCCTTGAAGCCACCTTCTGAAAAGTGATGCACTACGGATTGCTTTTCAGAGGGCTGGCACTTTTTTGTGTCATATCAATACAAACAAAAGAAATAAACATGAGAATGCCTAAACATTTGTAATTGTAAACAATTTTCTGGGTGAAGTGGTGCATTATCTGACAGAAATGCAGGGGTGCCCATATTTTTGGCCATGACTGTATATACTGTACATTCACATCAGTCCCTGCCCTCAAGGTGCTACCAATCTAATGCAGGCCATAGACGGGCTGTTTATTGGCCGAATTGTTGGCCGATAAAAGAAAAATCAGTCAGTCCCGTTGCGATGCTGCCACCAATGCTCATGAAAGAATGGGACAAGAAACCAGTTTGACAGAGACAGGGGAGCACACCATACAATGTGACAGCAATACAAATACATTATGGTTTTATCTGGAAACAAATGGATACATTTGTTGCAACCGCAAGACTTTTTGATATAAAATATAATAGCGGACTTCTTCTTCTTCTCCGTCTTCCTTGCAGGTCACGGCTCGTGCAGATTTTTTATCGATAAAATGATCGACCGATTTTCCCATCATTGCTGGGAAAATCGGCCGCGAATTTTCCAACATGACCGAATAAAAAAACTGTGCGACCAATTAACCCACTAACAGTGAGAAAATCACCCCTTTTTTTTTTTTTTTTTTTTTTCTCCGGCCAAAAAATCGGCTGATTTTCGACCTGTCTATGGCCAGCATAAGGTCCCTAACTCGCATTCATACACTATATTGACAAAAGTATTGGGCCAGCCCTCCAAATCACTGGATTCAGGTGTTCCAATCACCTCCATGGTCACAAGTGTATAAAATCAGCACCTAGCCATGCAGACTGCTTCTACAAACATTTGTGAAAGAATGGGTCGCTCTCAGGAGCTCAGTGAATTCAAGCATGGTACCGTGATAGGTTGCCACCTGTGCAATAAGTCCATCTGTGAAATTTCCTTGCAGCTGTTAGTGGGATTATAACAAAGTGGAAGCAACTGGGAACAACAGCAACTCAGCCACCAAGTGGTAGGTCACATAAAATGAAAGAGTGGGGTCAGCACATGCTGAAGTGCACAGAAGTCACCAACTGTCTGCAGAGTCAATAGCTAAAGACCTCCAAACTTCATGTGGTCTTCAGATTAGCACAACAACAGTGCATAGAGAGCTTCATGGAATGGGTTTCCATGGCCGAGTAGCTGCATCCAAGCCTTACATCACCAAGTGCAATGCAAAGTGACTGATGCAGTGGTGTAAAGCAAGCCACCACTGGACTCTACAGCAGTGGAGACATGTTCTCTGGAGTGACGAATGATGTTTCTGTCTGGCAGTCCGATGGACGTGTCTAGGTTTGGCAGTTGCTGGGAGAATGGTACTTACCCAAGTACAAAAACATAAAAATAGCGCAAATGGAGAAAGCGTGATTAGGTCCCAAGCATGAAGCCGTAGTCTCTGTATGGTAGATCCAGGTGTGTTAATCCACTTCTAGAATGGTTGCAGCTCTTCTAACAGGGTATTGGATGCCTCTGTGCATTAAAACAATAAACAGAAGGTGCCGCCATCTTAAGTGTATCAGTTTAATTAAAAACAAGTAAAGGGAAGGGTTAAAATGCACTCACAAGGATAAGATTAAATGGGCATATCATCAGTCCTTACTCATTGGCAAGCCTCGGTGGACAGCGGTTGGATGGATTGATGAGATCAGGGGCGAACTGAATATTTGGAAACTCGGGCACTGCCCGAGGGCTCAGAGTCTGTAGGGGGCCCCATGAGATACCCCTGGTACCTTTTTCATAGGCTTTTTTGAGTTTGGGTAAGGACACAGGGGACCCATGATCCCCTATTGCCCGGGGGCCCCATGAGTTGTCAGTCCGCCCCTGGGAGAGATGTATCCTTAAAACAGCTTTGCAGGATAGGTGGAATAAAGATGGACTCTGTCAGAATGCAGATTAAGTCCATATGACAGGCTGTGTCTTCCTCCAGCAGCAAATATAGCCGCACTGGAATGCAAGCCAGCGCTAGGACCGCAGTCAGGACGTATTGAGCGTGATGGGTGGTAACATGTTTCGGAGCCCACACTCGCTCCTTTGTCAAACCATGAGAGGGAAAGGGAGGATAGGATAACTATTTATTAGGCACTGAAGGAGGAAGGGGAGGGGAAATGTAGCACACATGGAATACTATTGATAGTTAAGTATTGGCGGATATGGCTTAAATTCAGGTGGAACTGACTGAATAAATGAATACTATGTGCATCATCCCAAAAATAAAGACAAAAAAAAAAAACAACAAAAAAAAAACAAAAAAGGGGAACTCTAGCGCAAAAATGTAAATAAAATAAAAATAGATAATACAAATACCATTACAAAAAAAGTTGACAATATATGCAGAACTAGAATAAATAGACTCTAATATAAACGATTAACAAAAAAAAAAAACAACAAAAAACCCCCCATAGATTAAAGATCATAATGTGAATTGCATTCCAAGAAGAGTTTGCAATTTGCTCTCTGTATAGGGATAGATTAAGGACGGAAAGAAACAATAGTATAAATATTACAAAATGCTATACAGACGTACCTCGGTTTACGAACGCTCGGTTAACGTAATTTTTGGTGTGCAAATGAAAATCCATAGAAAATAATGCCTCAGTTTGCAAATTTTTTTTTGCAGTACAAAGTAAGTTTCCCCAGGATGCATTGTGCCTGGGAGGTTTTTAGCACCGTCCCCATGCCTTTAAAGTGCACTTTATAAAGAGTTTTGAACAGATAAGACTTTTTTTTTACTCTTTTCTGACCTCCGGAATGGGTTAATTGGTTTTCAATGCATTCCTATGGGAAACCGTGTTTCGGTTTACGAATTTTTTTGCAATACGAAACGTCCCGGAGAACACATTAAATTTGTAAACCAATGGTACGCCTGTGTATAGCTTAAATACAATGGAACTAAATGATAGTACTGGTTTCTATCTCTTCATTGAGCCCTGCTGTCTCCTGTTCACACAATTATCCAGCTCCCACAGCCATTACACCGGCTTCTATCAGTCCCCTAATTCTAAAGACACCCAAGATTTTTTAGGGGTCACCTTCTCCAGACTCTCAAAAAGAGAAAAACTTTTCGAAGAAAAAGGAGAGGTGGAAGGAAAAAAGAATAAAAAAGGACCTGTTAATAGCACCATAAAGATATTCAATTTGTCCACTTACTCCCGTTCCCCTGAGGATACCTTGTTGTTACAAAAAAGTTTACATTTTGCCTCCACTTCAGCTCCAATCTATTCACTCTGTTTAAAGATTTGAATAAATGTGTTCAGAATCTACCTGTGAGAAAGTTTTATGCCACCAGAGCAGATAGTAATCCTCAAGACCAGAGGAATAAGTGCCCTAGAAGTATGGGCAACTTTTCTTTAGCTCTGCTGTTAAGACTACCTTCTTCATTGCTAACATTTTTTTTTCCTAATGTCCTAATTTGTTTCTTCAATAAAGACTCTTCTCGATATCATTGCTAGAACTGGTCTCTATGATTGCAGCTATCCAGAGTGGCCTTTCCTTAGCCAAGCTTTTGGAGTGCCATGTGTGGACTGGAGTAAACATTATGGGGACAGCCTGGAAATGACCTTCAGGCTCTGGGTTTCACTTATGGCACTTTCCAGACCCTGTTCTGTTAAACCACCACAGAACAGATTCTCAGGTCCACAGCCATTGACATTGCCTCAGCTCTTCCCCAGTGTCTGAGTAGGCTGATCAGACTGAGCACCGGGAGCTATCTCATTTGTTGGGGTCTCAGGGCATATGCAAGATTACTGCTTTCTGATGGTTTTCAAACGCAGGAGGGACTCTATCCAGCAAGCCCACAACCCACATGTCTTTTGATGGACAATGTCTCTTTGAATGGACCTTTCATACTCTTATCAAGGATGTCACTGAAGGCAAGAGTACTCACCTGTCACAGCATAAAAAGCCTAGGGAGAGGTCCGCTAAGTCTCCTCTCTTTACTCCTGGTGGGGTATGTTCATCTAGGCCTCCTAAGCCTGGTCCTCTAGCCACCCCCAAAATCTTGAACAGCCGCAGTAGGGGGTGTCTGTTAATTTTTGTGGACCCCTGCATAGTTTGCCTTTTAGGAGCATAGTTGGAAAGAGTGTTTTTTTCAGAATGAAATTTAGATTTGTCTTCCTTCTTGGCTTCGTGTTGTCGGTCTTCCTGTGTCATCACACAGATAAACAGAGCTGCCTCTGTCCCTTTTGGGGTCTCCTGACAAGTCATACTTGTCATAGCTAAACCCAAAAACAAAAGGTTTATACAGTGCCTTCAAAAAGTATTCATACCTCCTTGAAATTTTCCACATTTGGTCATGTTACAACCAAAAACGTAAATGTATTTTATTGGGATTTTATGAGATAGACCAACAGAAAGTGGCACATAATTGTGAAGTGGAAAGAAAACGATAAATGATTTACAAAATTGTTTACAAAGAAATATCTGAAAAGTGTGGCGTGCATTTGTATTTAGCCCCCAAGTCAATACTTTGTAGAACCACCTTTCGCTGCAAGTCCTTTTGGGGATGTCTCTACCAACTTTGCACATCTAGAGAGTGAGATTGCCAGGGACTGCGGGTCTGGCCGCGGCGCACAGGTCTGCACATGCGCAGATTGCCTAGGCGCACTAATTGCAGGCACTGGGACCTGGGCGTCCACGGCGGCAATTGCGGCCGCGCATGCGCACGCACTCGTGCACGTAGGCGTGCGCCTGGCACCAATGACGGTGCAGGGCGCACTATTTAAACTGGCCAGGCAGTGATCAGGTTGCCACAAGGTCTAGTTCCTGTTCCTGTATTTCTGAAGTATGTTCCTGTTGCCGATCCTGCTAGTCCTGAATTGTGTTGACCTTCTTCTGCTCTGACCCCCGGCTCGTCCCTGACTACTATTCTGCCTGTTGCTATATTATTACTGGACCTCCCGTTGCTGAACCTTGGCTCGTGACCCAGCTGCTCTCTGTCTTCTGCTTGGTACCTATCTGCCTCCACTGTTACCGACCCGGCTAGTCTGACTACGCTCACTCCTGTCATCCATCCATCCCGCTCGGGACCTGGACTTGTCAGCCTCTTCACTTCAGGCTCACCCCTGGCACATACCCTCAGCAGGGACCCCTCTACCACGGTTGGGTGCACTCAGGGGTCGCGACCTGGTTTCAGTCTTGCACCAAGTCCATCCCCACCATCAGGGGCTCTGGTGAAAAGGCAGACTGGGACTTAGACTCCGCGTCCTGGGGAATCCCTTTCTGTGGATCTCTAGAGATCCCGCTGGGTGGTGTCTGACAGAGATTTCTGCCCATTCATCTTTGCAAAATAGCTCAAGCTCTGTCAGATTGGATGGAGAGCGTCTGTGAACAGCAATTTTCAAGTTTTGTCACAGATTCTCAGTTGAATTTAGGTCTAGACTTTGACTGGGCCATTCTAACACATGAATATGCTTTGATCTAAACCATTCCATTGTAGCTCTGGCTGTATGTTTAGGGTTGTTGTCCTGCTGAAAGGTGAACCTGTGCCCCAGTCTCAAGTCTCCTGTAGACTCTTAACAGGTTTTCCCTCTAAGATTGCCCTGTATTTGGCTCCATCCATCTTCCCATCAACTCTGACCAGCTTCCCTGTCCCTGCTGAAGAAAAGCATCCCCACATGATACTGCCACGTTTCACGGTGGGGATGGTGTATTCAGGGTGATGTGCGGTGTTAGTTTTCCACCACACAGCATTTTGTTTTTTTTAGGCCAAAAAGTTAAATTTTGGTCTAATCTGACCAGAGTACCTTCTTCCACGTTTGCTGTGTCCCCCACATGGCTTCTTGTAAACTGCACACGGGCCATCTTATGGCTTTCATTCAGCAATGGCTTTCTACTTGCCACTCTTCCATAAGGACCAGGTTTGTGGAATACACGACTAATAGTTGTCCTGTGGACAGATTATCTCACCTGAGCTGGGGATCTCTGCAGCTCCTCCAGAGTTACCATGGGTCTCTTGGCTGCTTCTCTGATTAATGCTCTCCTTGCCCGACCAGTCAGTTTAGGTGGACAGCCATGTCTTGGTAGGTTTGCAGTTGGGCCATACTCTTTCCATTTTCCAATGATGGATAGAACAGTGCTCTGTGAGATGTTCAAAGCTTGAGATTTCTTTTTATAACCTAACC